GCACATGTGCCACATGGAGCCCCATGCGATAGCGGTGGGCCGACCTGGCTGCGCTTCTTGCCACCACTTGCAGTGGTGGTTGGAGCCATGTGCCACCAGGCAGTAGCACCTACACGTGGCACGAGCACCCTGAGCACCCACCGTCTGCTGCTGCTGCTACCAGCAGAGGGCGCTGTGTGCCATGGGGAAGAGCATGTGGGGGATCCTCACATCTATACCCTGCCCACCTGAGCTGCATGCTCTTGCTGCACCCCTGAGCAGGGGCTCCATGTTCCTGCCAGCCCCACACGCCCCACTCCCCCCCAGATATAGCTCTTCTCCCCACTTCATCCCCACCGCTTTCTTACCTGGTGCCTGAAGCAAGCAGGACACCAGGGAGCCGAAAAGGTCCCCTGGCAGAGGCTGCATGCTGACTGGGCTGGACCCTTCCTCCCATGAGGGTGAACACAAGGCACACGGGCTGGGTGGGGTAGTTGGTTGGTGGGTGCCCATGAGCTGGATGAAATTGCCTGGTGGGTCGGATTTTGCCCACCCTGCTTGACAGGGATAGCCAACACATGGTTTTTCCCTTAGTTCTCATGGGAGACTTTACCATGACATCTGCTGAGAGGGAAACATCACAGTGCACAAACAATCCAACAAATTATTGGAATGTGTTGGGGATAGCTTGGTACAGGTGGTGGATAGGTCAACTAGTGGGGAAGCTCTTCTCAGCTTGCTGTTCACCATTAGGGAGGAATTAGTTGAGAATGTGAAAGGAGAAGGTAATTTGTGTGATGGTGACCACAAAATGATAAGAATCCAAGATTGTAAGGGAACGGAGGAAAACAGCAGAATAAAGAATTTCACCAAAAAAAAAGTGGATTTAAAAAAACCCAGGGAGATGGGCAGGATCTAGAGGTGCACCGATACATCAGTCTGATATCAGATCCGTACCGATGTAAAGAAAATTGACTGCATTGGAAATTGGCCTGATATCACCGATAATTTGGGCGATAAATTGCCTGTGTATGTGCAGCTGCAGCGTAAGCAGAGAGGAGCACAGCCCGGCAACTTGAAGAGCAGTGTCCAGCTGGTAAATCTGTTGTGGTGGAAGGTTGCGTGGGGGGCATATTAAAGCCCCCTGCAGTGAGGGAGGGAGGGTGTGGGGCAGGGGCTGGGGCAAGCGCTGTCCAGTTGGGGCAGGGCACAGGACAGATCCGCAGCTTGTTTGAGGGGTGGGTCCCACTGCTGCGTGCTCTTTGTCTGGGAGCCGCTCATACGGCACTCACCAGCTTGTCCAGCGGCTCCCACCGCTTGTCCGGGAGGGCATGGGGGAAGGCATGTGCCCCCAGATCAGGGCAGGGTGGGCGGGGCCAGGGCTGCGCTTGGGGTGGGTAGCAGCGCTTAGAGTGGAGCTACAGAGGGTGAGGGCTGCAGCCACCCCAAAATTCACCATAGCCCCCCAATAGCCCCACTCCCAGTGCTGCCACCACCTGCCTCAAGCACAGCCTCGCGCAGCCCTGACCTCACTGTCCCTGCCCTGCCCTGCGCAGATTCAGGGGCAAGTTTGAGTGGGGAAAGGAGTTCAAGATTGCTGGCTCTACTTGAAGTAAGTTGTATTAAGGGTGCAGGAGCAATCTATCCCAGTAGAGGTTCACCAATATATCAGTCTGGTATTGGATCGGCACCAATAAAAAAAAAATTGAATGCATCGGAAATTGGCCTGATGTGACTGATAATTTGGCTGATAAATGCCTGTGCATGTATGCCATTGCACGGCCCATAGGCAGCGAGAAGCACAGCCCAGCAGGTTGGAGAGCTGCATGCAGCTGGTAAGTCCGTTGTGGTGGTTGGGGAGGGAGGAGGGAAGGGGTGTGGTGGTGCAGAGCAATGCCCCTGTGTTGAGGGAGGGAGTGGGGGTGGGGCAGGGGCAGGGCCTCTGTTCCATGTGCGTCCTGCCCCAGCTGGGCAGCCCTTGCCCCAGCCCCACTCCCTCCGTCACCGCAGGAACCTTGATCTGCACCCCACCGTGCCCTTTCCCTCTCCCTTCCCCATCTACCACAACAGACTTAACAGCTGGACACAGCTGTATTGAAAATCAGATCGGTATCAGCTGATATACCTCCTTAAAAATCGGCTATCGGTATCAGCCCCCAAAATCTCTATCAGTGCACCCCTATATCTCAGTGCAACAGAAGAATGGGAAGTGCAGCAAGAAACCAATCTGACTAGACACTGATCTCAATGAGTTGAAACTTAAAAAGGAATCCTACAAAAAGTGGAAATTTGGTCACAGTACTAGCGAAGATTATAAGATTATTGCTTGGGCATTCAGGGAGAAAATTGGGAATGTATAATTTTTGATGCAACTGGCAATAAAAGATACTAAGAAGTATGTCAGAAGCAAGAGAAAGGCCAAGGGAAGTATAGGCCCCTTACAGAAGGCAATTTACTTACAGATGAGGTAGAGAAGTCTGAAGTATTTAATCCTTTTTTTTTTTTTACATCAATCTTCACAAATAAGGTTAGTTGCCAAGTCATGAGTGCAGTTGGCAGTGGAGAGAAAGAAGACAAATAGCTTAGAGTAATGGAAAAACAAGTTAGGGAGTACCTAGAAAAGCTAGAAGTTTCCAAGTCAGCATGGCCGATCTCAAAGCCATTCACAGTCCTCTTTGAGAAATTGTGGAAGTTGGGTGAGGTCCCAGATGAAAGGAAAAGAGCAAACATAGTGCCCATCTTTAAGAAAAGGAATGTGGGGAATTACAGACCAGTCAGTCTGACCTCAGTACCTGGAAAGATTGTAGAGCAGGTCCTCAAAGCATTGATTTTGAAATACCTGGGGGAAGTTGATGAGGAACAATCACTATGGATTTAAGAGAACTCATGCCTGACCAACTAGGTTTCCTTTTATGATAAGATAACAGGTTTTGCAGATTGTGAGAGAGTAGTGAAGGTACTCTGATTTAGCAAGGCTTTTAACATTGGTTCCCATGACATTCTGTTTACTAAGCTTAGGAAAACAGACTAGATAAAAGTTTTGGATCATTGCTCAGCAGATACTCCCCAATGGTTTAATGTCTTGTTAGGAAGAGAGATCAAGTGGAGCTCCCCAGCTGTCTGTCCTGGGTTTGGTATTGTTTAACACTTTCACTAATGAGTTAGATAACAGAACTAAGTACACACTTAACAAATGTGCAGATGACACCAAGCTGGATATAGTTGCAGACACTAAAATATAGGGCTAGGATCCTAAATGACCTGGATAAACTGGAAAAAAGGTCTGAAATCAATCAAATTAAACAAAAAGGATAAGTACCAGTTTCTGCACTTGGAGAGGAATGACTGCATGTGCAAATATAGACTGGGGAGTGACTGGCTAGGCTGAAGTACAGCAGAGAAGATCTGAGGGTTACAGTAGATCATAAGCTGAATATGAGCCAACAGTGTTTTCTTTGTGCAAAAAAAAAAAAAAAGAGCAACACCACACTGGATTGCATGATGATCAGGAGTGTCACTTGAGTGTTACTCAAGGGAAGTGATACTTCTGCTCTATTCAGCACTGGTGAGGCCTCACCTCGAGTACCCTGTACAGTTTTGGGCCCCACGTTTTCAGACATTGATTGGAAAGGGTCCAGCAGAGAGTGGCAGAGCCGCAGCAACCACCTGCACCCCACCTCCACCCCCAACCCACTTGCCTTATAGCCTCTGCCACCACTGTCACCACAACACCCTGGCTGCCCCCAGTCTCTGGCCCCCTCTCTTCTCCCTTACTGTCAGGCATAGGTTCAGCTTCATTTCCTCCCAGGGTATGGAGTACATGGAAGTTCTAGCCCCTGCTTGGCCAGTGAGCAGCAGCACAGCTCCAGGCAGGAGTCTGAATGATAGCATGGATAAAGAAGTAAGACTTGGGTTGATAAAATCAGGCCATGGAAACTGCTGCCAGTTCTCTAAAGCTGAGATGTGGGTTTTCTGGAAAATTTTAAATCGGAAAATTTTCCAATGCCCTAAAGAGCGTGTGATCTGATCTAGCATGTTTATTTGATGTATATTTAGTAAACAAAACTAAAAAAAGTACCCTCATGTTAATTTTATGTTCCAATAGCCACAAGTATTGGAACTGAAATATTTGATTAGGAAAAAAATTAAATACAGCACACTTAATGTGGTTTAAATGTTAAATTCAAACACTTTCAAAGGTTTTTGTGGAAAGAAATTATTTTTATTGGAATACTTGTGAAAATGTAAAGACAATGCACAATAGCATGTAATTCCCTTACATTGTTTGTTTAAGTGTAAGAGGAAAAAACGAAGGTACTGAAAACAGTTGACTAATTTTAGCACACCCAAAGCGCTGAGCATGATATGCTGTGGGTGTCCACTCATCTACTTCAACAGAGCTTAACTCTTCCACTGAGGTTATTGCGGCACCTCTAGTTGCACTGTCACTATCTGTAGAATCACTTGCACTTCATTGTTACTAATGAATTTTATGAAACTATGAATTTTTCAAAATGGAAAATTTCTCATGTAAAAATAAAGCACTGGAAAATTTTCCATTTTGGAAAATTTTCCGCCCCACATTTCTGCTCTGAAGTGATCTGGTAAAATCACTGCTTACTATATGTGTAAAGTTCTATAATAATTGCCTTCCTTCTAAGATGGAAGTATGAGGATAGAGTTATGCCCAGCACAGAAATATTACCAGCAGTCAGTAGAAAAAGATGAGACCATAACCCCACCTACCCCTGCTCCATGATTCAATTTGTTTAGTTCCAGATTTTCCTTGGTTGGAATCAAAATGCAGGGGAGGTGAGGTTGCTTTGGGAGAACCTGTAACTACATCTACATTATGACAGGTTGGATTTGATTCAAGTCAAATTGATTTAAATCATGATTCAAATTACGATTTAAATCACAGGTCAGGAAGCCTCAATTTAATAATTGTTTTCTGCAAAAAGTGCATTCTTGTTGTTTGATATTCTTTATTCATTTAACCTCTTAAAACTTTACACCTTTAGAGAAAGGTAAGGGCTTGACTGTGGCAACAAACCTTCAGAGAGACAAGAGGGCTGATGGGCAGGTAATCACTGCGTTCTGTTATCTCTCGTCTCCATATCCTGCTGTTAACAAGGATGTGCAAATTCACAATTTGAAAACTGAAACTAAGCATTGCAGAGATGCTTAATGCGATCTTATAGACTGATTCCCACTGGGTAGAGTGGTTTTCTTTAACCTTTACTAACGTATAGAGGAGCCTCTGGGAACCTCATAAGACTGGGTCCCTAATATAGTCCATGGCCTGTTGTGACCCATTTATAAAACTTTTCTAAAAAGGTTACATGAATATATCATCTCAAATAGTATAATTATAAGTGCTAATCCCTACTCTATGATGATATCTTTGACCTTCAGCACCCTAAATTAAAACTATATTTATATAGGTTAATTTTTTTAAAGCATCTTTAAAAAAAATACAATTATCTAAAAAAATCTGATTTAAATTTTAAAAAGCAGATTTTTTTAAAATCAATGATTTTTATCCACCCTGAATTATGAGCACTTAACTGAAATAGGAATACCAGTATATTATAGCAGCAAAGTGCCTCTAATGTAGATACATCTTTACTAGCAAAGCTGAATTGTGTACTGGTTTAGTAGTACATTCTTCATAAGTAAACAAGGGATTGGTCCGTGGTCTCGTCTACACAAGAAAGTTTTAACGATGAAACCTGTACTATGTTGGCATAATGGCTTTGCTCATGGCTTTTGAGCTGTAGTACCCAGGGTCAGTGTATCTTAGGAAATACTTCTCTTCCTGCTAACTCACCTTTGATACCTAAGCCTTAGCAGATTAGGCTGCTGCTAAGAAACTTTCAGGAGAGCCACATGCTGTAGCCTCTGCTTACCAGGGCATGTCCAGATGTGCGGATACACGCAGGCATTCACCGTGCTACTAATTTGCAGCATGGCAGGTGTTTTGACACTGAGAAATCCTGGTGTCAAAAAAACCCATGCCTGAAAAAAAGCAGGGTGGTCCATGCAGCAGCAGCATGCATTGCCTGAAACGAGCCTGGCTAGCTGGAGCCACATTCCAACTCCCAGCCAGGCTCTGCATGCCGGTTCGCCGCTGCTGGAGCCCTGGGAGGACTCCAGGTAAGCCTTCTGGGGCTAGCCAAGGTGCTGGCCCCAGCCTCCCCTACCCCACCTGGGGCAACTTGCCTTGTGCCACAGCATGCGTGCGCATAGGCATGCCCCAGGGATAAGTAGCAGCATCACAACTATGTGCCATTGCTATTTGTCCCTGGGGAAACACACCTGTGCACTAGTCTGGACGCGCCTATGTAGGAAATATGCTGGACATCATCAGCCTCTGAGGAAAAAGGTAGCGCAATTTCAGCTGCAGAACTGTGGCTGGAATAAAAATGTCTATTTAGACCCTGCAAAGGAAATGCAAAAGCTTGGCGTACAGCTGAGGTGAAGGTCAGTGTTGGAGGAAAGAGAAGGCACTGTGACAGCCCTAAGGTGGAGAAAATGTGGGTCTGTCCCTTCCTCCTCCTCTGGAGAGGAGAGTGGAGAGCAGAGCATTTTGGGACCCTGAAACTGCATGGTGCTACGTGTAACTGTACAGCTATTACATGTGGCACTGCAAAACACAGTGTTACAGAGAAGTTCCTGTTTCATACAGGAACTTATTTTTTAGCACTTGCACCATTTCTGTGATGGCATGTTTGTACATCTCTCTTTTCTTTCTTTTTTTTAGCACTACAAGGGCATATATAATGCTGTGAATGTTACATCCCTCCCCAGCAGTGACCTTAAGCAGTTGCTTTCTCTAGACCTTTGGCCCTGTCCTGAGCAGTGTATCAGCCAAAACTACCACTGCCTCTCTGAATTTAAAATGCTTACTGTACTATCCCTACACTTACTACACACATGCCTGACAGACTATCCTGATTCTTTAAAGCTACATACTTTGAAAAGTGCCTCCATATACCTACCTGTCCTGAATTAAGTCACATCCATTTCATATTTTTATGAGCATTTTTGAGAAGACTTTAGTGAATCTTCCCACTTATCTTTCCCTGTTCATTCTACTTGTTAATCTAACACCATTGTTTGTCAGTGGCTTTGGCTGAGTTATCTTCATGAGGTGCTCTCGCCACACTCACTGCAAGACTGACTTTGAACAGGAAGAGAAAGCAACTGATAAGGGAAGGATGTGCTTCTGCAACATTTTGAGTCTGAAGCCCACATAACAAGGGACAAGCATTCACTGGAAAAATGGAAGAACAAAGGAAGGAACAAGAAATGCACCAAGATAGGCGGTTCCTAGACAGCAAATGCAGATGCTACAAAGTCTTATGGCTCAGAACTTCTCCAGATTTACACCTCAGCACCCATTTCACAGTTTGCATGATTCTGTCTGGGGGAATGGAAGAAGTGCACACCTTTACCAAGATGCCAGCCTATCCTTTCTACTTAATCTCTGTGGTAAATAAGGAGAATTGTTACCAGACTATATAAACTGACCTGTAATGTGTGCAGCAGGAGTAGCTACCATCTTGCATGACAGTTTTATGTGGTTTTTAGTTCTTTTTAGAGGTATTTTTTTATTGATCAATAAAGATTTATTTTGTCAATATCGTTATTTATTCACTTTGTTATAGGGGTACACTGATAAAGATTTTCTTGGCCGATAACGATAGCCGATTACCAGCTATATTGGCCAATACCGATCGAAGAACCAATTTCCAGGAATGCAGCTGGGCAATATGGAGAGCAGCTCCCTGCAGGTAAGTCTGAAGAGAGGAGGGGGCATGGTGGGGGCAAATCAAGGACCCCACAGTGAGGGACGGAGTGGGGCTGGGGGTGCTGCTCAGCCAGCATAGTGAATGGGACCCAGGGCCAGGGCGGGGAGTGGGATGAAGCCGTAGGTGGCTCATCCAGGGGATCAGCATCCAAACGCTTAAAAATGGCAGCAGGGGCGCATGAACTAAAGCTCGCTGAATGAGGTTTAATTGTAGAAATGAGTTGAATGAGTTCAGGTGCCGCCACTGCCATTTTTAAGCATGGGGTGCTTTTAACTGGAGTCAGCTGAAGGGTAAGGATGGATGCAGGCTACTTGCTGTGGGCTTGGGGCTCCAAGCCCCATTGCAGTTCTGACAATGAAATGCCTTTGCCCTGGGGGCCCTGTGCCAGCCACACGTCCCCTGCCTACCTGGCAGCAGGAGGCTTAACTTGCTGCCCCCGCTGGGGGTGCCCAGTTGGCATGAGACTCCTGAGGGAAAAGCAGGAAAGTGGAGAGCCCCAAGCCCACCGCATGTAGCCCACACCAGCCCAACACCCCATGGATAAGCCACTCACAGCTCCGTCCTGCTCCCTATTCTGGCCCTGAGTCCCATTCACCACCCTGGCTGGGCAGTGCCTTCTGCCCCACTGCCTCCCTCACCATTGAGGCCTTGTTCTGCACCTCTCCACACACACCCCCCTCCCCTCCACAGACTTAGCTGCAAGGGGCTGCTCTCCACGCTGCCTGGCTGCATTTCTGGCTACGTACATGTGTGCGGCTGTGCTCATGCATGTGGCATCCGGTGGTCCTGGCCAGAAGGCATATTGTATTTATTGGTGAACATTATCGGTTACACCAGCAAAAAAAAGCTGATAGCCAATAATGTTAATGTTCCTTTTATCGGTGCTGATCTGATATGCAGCCAATATATCAGTACACCCCTACTTTTTTGCAAAGCAGTTGTGGGACTCGCATAATTGTTCACTTTTCCCTCCCCCTCCCCCCCAAAAAGTTATGTAAATGTTATATAGCTTCATTTAAATTCAGGCACAAACTACTTCAGTTTATTCATGAAGCTGTGTGAATTAATGTAACATAACCTGACTGGCAACTTTCATAGTGGGATCTTAGGGCCTCCTCTCACCGTGCAGCATAACAAGGTGCTTTTTTTGAATATCATTTGAATATTGCCTGGCTTTTCAAACTGATAGTTAATTTTCTCCTCTCTACATCCTGCTGGTAATGTTTCCCCTTTCATTTTGCAAAACTAGTGTAAAACAATAATAACAATTGGAATATTTGGCTTAATGAGATCCAGCCTAGTTGTGAGGCATCTTCAGTCCCCATTCAGCCAAATGCGCATTTAGCAGTTATCCTGTGCTCGCTCAGAGCTGGGTCTTAAATCTTCCCAGGTGCTTTTTGCTATGCATGAAACTCCCATGAGCCAAGGCAGTAAAAGACTGCTTATGTCCCTAAAAGTTGCAGTTGGAAATGCTGTCTCATCCGTGTGAATGTACTCATATAGGGTAAATGCATCTGTATGCAACTTTTCAACAAGGCCTGCATTCCTAAAATTGCATTGGGTGTTTTTCCTGACCATCCTGCAGTACTGACTATGAAATACCTCTGATATCCCTACTTTTATGCAAGCTTAGGGGAAAAAAAACCCTCCTCTCTGTCTGTGTGCTCAAAAATCAGGGTGTCCATGCTGTCTGTAACTTTATTGGAAGTCCAGTGTGTTGAATGCCTCCTCTTCCTGCATGTTGCCCAGTCAAGTACATACATTTAATAACCTTAAATATTGGACATTGACTGTTCCCCACAGTAAGTTTTTCTATCAGTCTGAACTGATTTGCTGTCGGTCAGTGGGTAAGCAAGGGGTACAGCTTTCCAGGGCATAACTGTCATCTGATTTATTCCACTGTCAAAGCAGCTTTCCTTTCGGTGTCTTCACTAAAGAGTTTGGGTTACCTCAGTAAGTCATTTAATGGACCAAAGAGACTTATCAAAACTTGAAGCCAAATTCCCGCGATTCCTAGAGAAGAGTGCTGGGATACCACAAAGTAATATGCCAAGGGCTGGTGTGGAGCACTGGCATACCTACACACAAAACAGGACTCTTTTGCCAGTACAGTTTCCCTGTAAGGATGCGCTGCACTGGCTAAAAAGCATAGTCTAGGAAAATTGCAGCATTGGCAGTGGCATGCCAGCACAAATATTCTTGGTAAATCTTTCTAATGCAGCTGTGGATGTGCTATGCTGATAAAAGCACAGTTTGGAGAGTACAGATGCATTGTGCCCTAGGGGTTCTTCCAGCAGTTTTGTTGGTCTCTTTTATTGCATCTCTCCATATCTGACAAAAAATGCCAACAGAAATCTGTACCAAAGACCTAACCTTAGACCTTGGTGATTTTGATTCCTCCTCTTCAGGAGCTGGAAGAGCAAAGATGACTTTTTCCCCTGCATTGCCTGATCTGGGATTGAGGTCTTGAACCCTATATAATTTTTCGGGGGATGTTTGCCTTTGAGAAGCTTACTGTAGAGCAGCAAACCTACTTTCCCTCATTTTTTAGAGCCAGCGTAGTCCACTTTTTCTTGAGGGTCATGTTTGCTACAATCTTAATTTTGTAAAATGAAATTACGTAGGACCTTGTGTGGGTTGGGAGATTTAAGATCTAATATTTTTAAGAGGCTATCCTTACCTTTATTTTTTTTATTTCTTATTTTCATGTACATTTAATGGTTACATATAGCTTCAATAACAGTTAAAAAAAAAATTAAACATTAAATCTTACTCAAAAAGTAATCCTGTAGCCATTTTAATAGCTAGTGATGAATCCAGTTTTTAATAGGAGTTTTAATAAATAAACAAACAAATCTCTTATATTATGGGGAGTGCTGTATGGATTTTAGTAATTCCACCAGCGTTTGAAGCTGAAATCTGTTGCTGTCATAAATAGTTGGAAGAAGCTAACAGCTTAATTCTTTGAACACAAAGTACCAGATAATCTAACAAGTAGTATCATCTAGCCTCTAATTGTCCATTACCAATTACTTTATATCATTCAACCATGCTACCAAAATACCATATCTTAGGGGTTGACAACTGGGGGTATGCATACCCATAGGGGGACTTAAGAAGGCCGTAGGGGGTATGGGCAGGTAGGTGGGCAGAGACAGAGTGCGCCCTGGGGTGCAGTGGTGGTGTCTGCCCCAGTATGTTCCCATATGTTACTTCTTACCCGGCGAAGGGGGAGGAGAAAGGGGAGCGTGAGGGGTGCGCTGGGTGCCACTGGCCCCACACGGCACACTGCAGCACCTCCCTGCCCCCCACCTCAGCTCACTCTCTGTGCCTGCTTGCTCCCAAGAGCTGGACCAGGACAGCAAGGGCAGCGGTGTCCCTCTGGGCGCACGCACGCTGCCTGGATGGCTGGACAGGGGTGGGGGGTCTCACATGTGGCGCCTGCTGCCGCCACCACCACCATCACCCCACACCACCACTGCTGCCACATC